ATCGTTGTCGCGGAGACAGCCGCGCATTTCCTCGCTTTTTTCAATAGCAGAAAGGAAATATGAGATTGCTTCCTGAATCTTTCCTTCTTTCATTCTAAGGTGTGCCATAATTTGGAGCGAATCGAACTGTCCCTTAATATCCCCTATTGCTTCACTTGATGCGAGTCCTTTCTTGATATATTCTTCTCCTCTATCATGTTCAGCCTGATTTAAAAGCAAAACTCCAAGGTTTGAGCAACCTTTTGCTTCTACTTCCTCACTTCCAGTTTCTTTGCTTATCGCAATTGCTTTTTCAAAATATTCTCTTGCCTTGACGAAGTTACCAACATCGTGCTCCACAACTCCTTGGTTGAGGTACGTTCTAGCCATCTCTACTCTATCTCCAATGTCTTTGAAAATTGCAAGTGCTTTCTGATTATATTCGTTAGCCTTGCTATACTTTCCAAGAGAGATAAAATTCGCTCCCTGATCATTGTAACACAAAGCTACTATGCGTCTGTTGCCAATCTTTTTACTGATGGCTAAGGATTTTTGCCAGTAGTCGGAAGCCTTCTCATATTCGCCAACTGCTGCATACATCTCTCCAAGTTGTACGTAAGAGGCAGCTTCAAGTCTTTTGTCTCTTCTGTCTTCTTTTTTGATTGCAAGTGATTTCTCGAGATGTTCTCTAGCCTTTTCATATTCGCCAACTGATGCATACACATCTCCAAGGTTTGTGTAAGAAATAGCTTCTCCATTTCTGTCTCCAATTTCTTTGTAGATCGCAAGTGATCTCTCCAGATATTCTCTAGCCTTCTCATATTCGCCAACTGATAGACACACAGCTCCAAGACCTAAGTACGTATACGAGACAGCTTCTCCATCTCTGTCTTCAATTTCTTTTTGGATTGAGAGTGATTTTTCGAGATGTCCTTTAGCCTTCTCATATTTGTCAACTGATCGATACATGGCTCCAATGATTGCGTGACAGTTAGCTTCTGTTTTTCTGTCACCAATTTCTCTGCTGATCAGCAGCGCTTTTTCCGAGAGTTGTATTGCCTCTGGGTATTTACCTTGATGAAAACACATTTCTGCAAGTTTTAAGCTTAGCTTACATTTCTCAAGTCTTTCGCCATCTTCATGGTAAATTAGGAAAAGTTCCTCTGCGTATTTTATGGCGTTTGTGTTATCGCTGATAAGACTACAAGTCTTCCACATTGTAAAATATACCCCCTTGTAGAATAATTTGGTAAATTTCTCGTCTATTATGGCTGCTCTGTCTTTCAGAATGAACAAGCATTCCTTGCATAATTCGATGGCTGTTAGATATCGACTGGTGTTGAGAAGGAAGCCGGCAACAATGAGGCCGATTAAGATGACTTGTATAACTTCGTATACGTTGTTCATTTCACTGATCACTTCTGTTAGAGAATAAAAGAGAGAGAGAAAAGAAAAGAGAATAAAAGTGGGAACTAATTTTGACCCAAGTTTTTTTATGCACTAGTTCACTGCTGTTGTTATAATTGCAACATAAACATGTATTTCTATCTCATCACATCCTAGCGGGACCGCACATGGGGAAACTAAAAAATTATAGCGAGGGGAGGAGAGGGGAGTTATTTACAACCTCGTTCCCAGGGTCTCTCTTCTTCCAATTCTCTGAAGCGAGACTGGGGGAGAGTTCATGGTCTAATCTGGTCTGGTCACGAGTCTTTTGGATAATTCAGAACTGACGGGGCCTCTAATGTTCACAAGTAACCTGCGTTCATTCGTTTCTTTTTTGGGGAGGGGAGGCGAGTTAGGGAAGGGGAAGAAAAGGACACCTGATATTTTTACTTAACGAGTCGTCCGCCGCTAGTTCGTTGCTCAACTGACATTACCGATGTTATCGTGTGTCGTTTTAATTTATAGATTAAGCCAAGCCTAAAAGCTGAGCGCCTTACTACATAATTAACCATAAATGAAAAGAGGATATTTTTCCCTGGATCAGAAACTCAAACAATGATCAATTGTTAGCACATTATTATCCAGTGTGTGGTTTCACTATTTTTTCTAGTTACATTTTAACAAACCATACCTTATGAAATTACGCACGCAATATGTCAGGGACTTTACAAGAGACGATTGTGCAAGAAATATGTCGGAAGAAAAGTCAACAACGCAACAGGGTTTAATTTACGCCGAAATTTTCCCTTTGCTTATACTCCTGTCCTCTCCCCCAGAGTAATAACCTGGCTTGAGCTCGCGATCCAATCGAAAGCTCAGTACCTGGTCAGAGGTCAACGTCGAAAACACGGGACCTCAATGAGATCTTGACCTGAGCCCGCGATATGGTCACGTAATGCTGGCAGCGTATACCTTGTTTTGACATCTGCCAATTAATTATAACATGCATGTCCAATATCAAAGATGTACCTATGGTAAGGAAGCTATTTTTATTTTTCAGGAAATGGGGCTTGGCGTACGGGCGTACAGGCGGACGGACGTACGGACGGACAATCACGTGACAACCAAAATTTTTTGAGAGCGATGGATTACAAATTTTCTAAAGTATGGGCCTCTGCTCGTACGCCTTCGGTGCGCAGGAGCTCCGCTATAAATGAGAGCTAATCAGATTTCACCTGATAATTCATGCGGCCGGTTGGAAGTCAAGAGAGGTAGAAAGTTTAAATGTCTTTGTGTCCGTCAAGAAACAAAACAATGCCTTAAAAAAGTCGGTGGAACATCAGATCGGAAGTGGTAAAAAGTCTGAACAATGCTAGCCTCTTCCAGGCGTTCAGTTAGTTGGAGCGAAGCGCGAAAAACAGCGCGCGAAAACATAAAAAAAAGGCGCGCCGTTTTTCGCGCTTCGCCCCATCTAGCTGAATGCCTGGAAGAGGTTAAAACAATGCGAGAATAAACATTGTAACAGGTATATTCCAGGGGACCGCCCACAACTGAGTTAGCTCAACCGCCGATGTTTTTGACACTTTCGGATCAAATAATTAATGATTCTCTTGCCAAATTCCGTCGGAAGAATGGCTGAAACTTTTCTTTTAAATAGATGATCTTCCAGGTGCATTTCAACTGCTCTTCCTAGGCCTTAAGACAAGATAAGATAAGAACTTTATTAACGTGTCGAAGTCGCTAGCATACAATTTATACTAATTAGGGACACCTAACTACGATTACTTATCTGATAATTAATAAAATATGAAATACATGTGCGTATGTAAGTGTTTTAAAATATATATATAAAACAAACAATGAGTCATGCAGTAAGATCAAGTGTTAGTTGTTATATAAAAAACAGTCTCTACAAGTACTGTCCAGCAGAATTGGTAACAGCAAATAATTCCGCAATGTAAGGAGGCGCCAGACCATTTTTGACTTTATACATTATGGTTGCAATGGCTTGCAATCGTCGCGTATGGAGTGTTGGTAGTTTTGCTCTTTGCAAGAGTTCCTCATACGTCGATTTACTGTTACAATAAACAGCTCGTAGTGCTCGTTCTTTAAGTACTTGAGAATAAATCTTGAAGAGACGAAGTTATTTGCAGCCGCTGCAAGCGGCTGTAAATAAATGTAGCTCCTTTCAAATTCAACTTAACATTTCTCATTTTTGTCCGCAAGCTTTGAACTCCTTGTTTCGTAATTTCCATTGGAAAAGCGCTCGTTTTCATGAGCCACAATACGGCCGGATTCCTCTGGACTACAAACCTTTATTACCTGCCTTTAGATCCTTATTCAAAAATTAACTAAAGAGTGAACTTTGAAGGCATCGTTCTTCTCTCGATAGCCGTTCGAAACTACTCGAAACTGAAGGCTTAGCTGAAGTCCAGTTTGTGATTGACAGCTGTCGCTTTGTTTCAATTGGCCAATCAAATTATTTAAACAATTCTAACAAGGATAGTGACCGGCTTATTTTAGCGTGCTTTATCAGAGAACAGAACACGGCTGACGCCACTTTTACTCGTTTAGAAAATAAAGTTTGCTTCGAAAATTCAGCCGAATGCGTGGAAAAATTATTGGATTCTTTATCGTAAAACAAATAAAGAAGCCTCGACTATGCTCTGTTCTGTTGTAAAGCACTTAGGAAGCGGAGAGCACTCAAGAAGTAGGAATAAACACTCGTTTAAGTCTCGTGTTTTCCCGTACACTTCTTTCGTGCTCTACTGCTTCCTAAGTGCTTTACAACAGAACAGAGCACCGTCGAGGCTTCTTTATTTGTTAACTCTATATTTCTGGAAAGGTTATGAATCAAAATATATGAAGAAAATTATTTAATGCCTCGAAAGCTAATTCTAAGCTGATACCAAACAGTTAATTGTACCACTTGCTGGGCGATACGAAGGCTTACTTATAAAGAAAAGAATCAATGAAAATACATTGCAGTCATTTACTTCTATCTGCTCAGATTCCAATAAACGATTTTATGAAATAAACTTTTTAATTACTGTTCTGTCGTTTGATCTTCAAAATCTGATCTGAAAATTAAATGAAGCACTTGTATAGTGAAAAAATCGTATTTTGCCTCTTTGTTAGTTAGCACAGTTCGATGTAATTTATTACACAAATCTTCCTACTTAATTGGACGATGCTTTTAATGTTAAGGTCTGAAAATTGAAATTCATCGTGAAATCCAAATTATTCTCGGTTTCGCACTTTTCTGGTTACAACACGAGTTTGTTAATTCTACTGGAATATCCTTAAAACACAATAACATTAGCAGCTTAGATAGGTGGAAAAAAAGCAAAAATTGAACTTCAACAATTTATATCTATCTAGACATGCGCATAGTTAAATGGTCAACAATTCCATTATTATGGGATTTCCTCCGCTTTCATAAAAACAAATTTTTAGAACAAAGTGAAATAGACCCTTCTATCATAATATTATTGCTGTCAGAATCTGTTGGCAGGGAAACATAATTAGCGGTTTCAATAAATATTTCCTTACCTATTAAGGTCAATTTGTTTGAAAAACAAGCAATAGGGTAGTTATCTGTGAATAACATTGCAAACTTACCACTTCCCTTTAGCTTGGTATCAAGAATACAAAGGCGACGACAGTCTCTCTTTTACAGTAGGACTTTGTTTGTCTACAGGGCAACAGAAAAAAGCTAAAACAAGCTTTCTCAATTGAGACGTGTATTTCTTTAGTAAGTCTACGTTTTGCCTCTAACTCCATGCTGATATTGAAGATTTAACAGGATGCGACAGATGTACAAAATTGAAATATACTGACAAAGGTAACCTCCCTAAAAGAATGAAAGTCACAGACGAAGAAAGATAAACATGCCTTAAAATTCACAGAAAATCATAAACAAGCGAAACTGGAGATACCGTCATAAATAATTTCAATAAACTGAAGTCATAGATCTCAAAGGACATGCAAAACTGAAAGTTTAGATCACTGGCAAAGATAAACGCAAAACTTGCACTGAGTCAGAGGCAAAAGTAAACACGGAAACGGAAGGTTACTGACGACAATGTACAAAGCTGCAGGAAACATAAAAAGATAAAGAAAGGCACAGAGCTCTAGACCATACACGAAGATAAGCATACAGCACACCTGCCAATGTGAGGCTATGACAGTACAAAACTGACCGTCATAAACAAACTGAACACAAAAAAAGAAACCAACAAACGAAGATTAGAGCGCATGAAACTGAAAGTCTCCGAGTGTTGCAATCTAAAAAATACTTTTTTTGCCTTCAACATTATTCCTTGATACATTTCTGCAATCTACATTTAAACTTTAAAAACTTTAAACTAGAAATCCGAGAATCCAAACGAAATCCAACTTCACTCACTTCATGAGCGACAAGGCTCTTCCCGTAAAACAGACAATGATACATCAGTAGTTAGTTCTAATAAATATTCAAAAACATTTTAATGCACAGTAAACATGTCAAACGAGGGTGGGGAACAGACGATATCTAGATAAAGTGTAATATTCTTACCGTTACTACTTGAGGAGTTCGGCAAAATCAGAGCGTAATCCAGTCTAGTCTGTATCAGCAAAAGGACAACGGATTATTAGTGACATTTAAATCTTCTCAATGTATCGTAAAGACATGAAAACTAAAGAAAAACTTAGAAACAGTGGGTTTTTTTCCCCAATGTATAGCTATGTACACAGAATTTTGTTCAGACCTTTAAAATGGATCTTGTGTTTCCTTTAGAATTGGTCAGTTAGGTGTCGCCAATTAACATACTGTTGTAAAATAGTATATAAGCCAGAATGATTGACTTAATAATAAAGTTATCGTATTATTATAAATGAAATTTGTATGGTAATATACATACAAACCCGTCGTCACTCCCTCAACTTGTTCCTAATTGAAAAGATTCGTTTCTTTTAGCGATACTGAGGTGGGTCGTCAAAGGATATGATTCAGTTTGTGTCAAGTTCGATTGGCCTTTAATAAATGCGTCCAGGCCACGTCCCGCCCTGGCCTCCCTTTCGTTTGCAGGGTTTACTGGGGGCGTATCGCCTGATCCAATCATCTTTGGGCTCGTTGACTCGTACACGCCCATTGCCTGATTTCAAGCCGAAAAGGACTAGGTACGAGTCTGCAAATTATGGGATAAGCAACTATTGATCCACATAGGCAGAAAGAGCACACCGAGATTCACAAAATCCCCAAGTTTGGTGCTTATCAGGCTAGTTTTAACTGAAATAGAGCCATTTGAAAACGTTAAAATTAACACTGAAAGAAATATTTGGTGATCCGGACACAGCGTCCGGATGGCCATACATTTCTTTGTAAATTTTGACGTTTTCAAATGATTGTATCTTATTATTGGGTCTATTTACACCAAACTTGGGAATTTTGTAAAATTTGGTCTGCACTTTATGACTATGTGGATCAATAGTTGCTAATCCCATGATTTACAGACTCGCGCCTAGTCCTTTTCGGCTTGAAATCAGGCAATTTCGCTCGCTTTCTCTCCTCGCAGAAAGGATTTGGTCTTAAATTTCCTTTGCTCCTTCGTTTATTTGTATTGTACGGTTTTATTTTTTTTTGTTTTAATACACATTTTTTTTTGCACTTTAGTAATACACCATTACATTGCAGGATGAAGTAGAAGGAAGGCAAAATCCGTATTTAGATTCAAGAATCAAGATTTCATTGGTAATTTCATTTGCATTTGAAAAGACTCCCCACCGCGGCCTCGGTTGCAAGCTGCAATGGGCGACAAAAGTGTTGAGACACTGGGCAGTAAAATTCGATCTTCGAGAGTCTTGGGAACATTTCTCCCCTTTCTCTCCAAACAATGTTGATTTTTCTATTTCTTAGACTGCACAGACCACAGGGCCTACACAACATTGAATTGGGGGGTCGGGGGTATCAGAGAATTAACGCTAGATGCAAATTAAATAGAATAAGTCAGGGGGGGCAAGCAGCGAGACCTGGAACCGTGTTTCTATGATCGCTCCAGTTAAGAAATTTGGCCGAGCGAGACTAAGTACTGGTTTGTGAAAAACAAACATGGCGGACTTCCGTGAGCGGGATGCGTTTGTAAAGTTTTGTAAACGTCGCGCATATTTCACGTTCAAACATCTAAG